TCCTGACTGAAGTTCAGTCCTGACTGAAGTTCAGTCCTGACTGAAGTTCAGTCCTGACTGAAGTTCAGTCCTGACTGAAGTTCAGTCCTGACTGAAGTTCAGTCCTGACTGAAGTTCAGTCCTGACTGAAGTTCAGTCCTGACTGAAGTTCAGTCCTGACTGAAGTTCAGTCCTGACTGAAGTTCAGTCCTGACTGAAGTTCAGTCCTGACTGAAGTTCAGTCCTGACTGAAGTTCAGTCCTGACTGAAGTTCAGTCCTGACTGAAGTTCAGTCCTGACTGAAGTTCAGTCCTGACTGAAGTTCAGTCCTGACTGAAGTTCAGTCCTGACTGAAGTTCAGTCCTGACTGAAGTTCAGTCCTGACTGAAGTTCAGTCCTGACTGAAGTTCAGTCCTGACTGAAGTTCAGTCCTGACTGAAGTTCAGTCCTGACTGAAGTTCAGTCCTGACTGAAGTTCAGTCCTGACTGAAGTTCAGTCCTGACTGAAGTTCAGTCCTGACTGAAGTTCAGTCCTGACTGAAGTTCAGTCCTGACTGAAGTTCAGTCCTGACTGAAGTTCAGTCCTGACTGAAGTTCAGTCCTGACTGAAGTTCAGTCCTGACTGAAGTTCAGTCCTGACTGAAGTTCAGTCCTGACTGAAGTTCAGTCCTGACTGAAGTTCAGTCCTGACTGAAGTTCAGTCCTGACTGAAGTTCAGTCCTGACTGAAGTTCAGTCCTGACTGAAGTTCAGTCCTGACTGAAGTTCAGTCCTGACTGAAGTTCAGTCCTGACTGAAGTTCAGTCCTGACTGAAGTTCAGTCCTGACTGAAGTTCAGTCCTGACTGAAGTTCAGTCCTGACTGAAGTTCAGTCCTGACTGAAGTTCAGTCCTGACTGAAGTTCAGTCCTGACTGAAGTTCAGTCCTGACTGAAGTTCAGTCCTGACTGAAGTTCAGTCCTGACTGAAGTTCAGTCCTGACTGAAGTTCAGTCCTGACTGAAGTTCAGTCCTGACTGAAGTTCAGTCCTGACTGAAGTTCAGTCCTGACTGAAGTTCAGTCCTGACTGAAGTTCAGTCCTGACTGAAGTTCAGTCCTGACTGAAGTTCAGTCCTGACTGAAGTTCAGTCCTGACTGAAGTTCAGTCCTGACTGAAGTTCAGTCCTGACTGAAGTTCAGTCCTGACTGAAGTTCAGTCCTGACTGAAGTTCAGTCCTGACTGAAGTTCAGTCCTGACTGAAGTTCAGTCCTGACTGAAGTTCAGTCCTGACTGAAGTTCAGTCCTGACTGAAGTTCAGTCCTGACTGAAGTTCAGTCCTGACTGAAGTTCAGTCCTGACTGAAGTTCAGTCCTGACTGAAGTTCAGTCCTGACTGAAGTTCAGTCCTGACTGAAGTTCAGTCCTGACTGAAGTTCAGTCCTGACTGAAGTTCAGTCCTGACTGAAGTTCAGTCCTGACTGAAGTTCAGTCCTGACTGAAGTTCAGTCCTGACTGAAGTTCAGTCCTGACTGAAGTTCAGTCCTGACTGAAGTTCAGTCCTGACTGAAGTTCAGTCCTGACTGAAGTTCAGTCCTGACTGAAGTTCAGTCCTGACTGAAGTTCAGTCCTGACTGAAGTTCAGTCCTGACTGAAGTTCAGTCCTGACTGAAGTTCAGTCCTGACTGAAGTTCAGTCCTGACTGAAGTTCAGTCCTGACTGAAGTTCAGTCCTGACTGAAGTTCAGTCCTGACTGAAGTTCAGTCCTGACTGAAGTTCAGTCCTGACTGAAGTTCAGTCCTGACTGAAGTTCAGTCCTGACTGAAGTTCAGTCCTGACTGAAGTTCAGTCCTGACTGAAGTTCAGTCCTGACTGAAGTTCAGTCCTGACTGAAGTTCAGTCCTGACTGAAGTTCAGTCCTGACTGAAGTTCAGTCCTGACTGAAGTTCAGTCCTGACTGAAGTTCAGTCCTGACTGAAGTTCAGTCCTGACTGAAGTTCAGTCCTGACTGAAGTTCAGTCCTGACTGAAGTTCAGTCCTGACTGAAGTTCAGTCCTGACTGAAGTTCAGTCCTGACTGAAGTTCAGTCCTGACTGAAGTTCAGTCCTGACTGAAGTTCAGTCCTGACTGAAGTTCAGTCCTGACTGAAGTTCAGTCCTGACTGAAGTTCAGTCCTGACTGAAGTTCAGTCCTGACTGAAGTTCAGTCCTGACTGAAGTTCAGTCCTGACTGAAGTTCAGTCCTGACTGAAGTTCAGTCCTGACTGAAGTTCAGTCCTGACTGAAGTTCAGTCCTGACTGAAGTTCAGTCCTGACTGAAGTTCAGTCCTGACTGAAGTTCAGTCCTGACTGAAGTTCAGTCCTGACTGAAGTTCAGTCCTGACTGAAGTTCAGTCCTGACTGAAGTTCAGTCCTGACTGAAGTTCAGTCCTGACTGAAGTTCAGTCCTGACTGAAGTTCAGTCCTGACTGAAGTTCAGTCCTGACTGAAGTTCAGTCCTGACTGAAGTTCAGTCCTGACTGAAGTTCAGTCCTGACTGAAGTTCAGTCCTGACTGAAGTTCAGTCCTGACTGAAGTTCAGTCCTGACTGAAGTTCAGTCCTGACTGAAGTTCAGTCCTGACTGAAGTTCAGTCCTGACTGAAGTTCAGTCCTGACTGAAGTTCAGTCCTGACTGAAGTTCAGTCCTGACTGAAGTTCAGTCCTGACTGAAGTTCAGTCCTGACTGAAGTTCAGTCCTGACTGAAGTTCAGTCCTGACTGAAGTTCAGTCCTGACTGAAGTTCAGTCCTGACTGAAGTTCAGTCCTGACTGAAGTTCAGTCCTGACTGAAGTTCAGTCCTGACTGAAGTTCAGTCCTGACTGAAGTTCAGTCCTGACTGAAGTTCAGTCCTGACTGAAGTTCAGTCCTGACTGAAGTTCAGTCCTGACTGAAGTTCAGTCCTGACTGAAGTTCAGTCCTGACTGAAGTTCAGTCCTGACTGAAGTTCAGTCCTGACTGAAGTTCAGTCCTGACTGAAGTTCAGTCCTGACTGAAGTTCAGTCCTGACTGAAGTTCAGTCCTGACTGAAGTTCAGTCCTGACTGAAGTTCAGTCCTGACTGAAGTTCAGTCCTGACTGAAGTTCAGTCCTGACTGAAGTTCAGTCCTGACTGAAGTTCAGTCCTGACTGAAGTTCAGTCCTGACTGAAGTTCAGTCCTGACTGAAGTTCAGTCCTGACTGAAGTTCAGTCCTGACTGAAGTTCAGTCCTGACTGAAGTTCAGTCCTGACTGAAGTTCAGTCCTGACTGAAGTTCAGTCCTGACTGAAGTTCAGTCCTGACTGAAGTTCAGTCCTGACTGAAGTTCAGTCCTGACTGAAGTTCAGTCCTGACTGAAGTTCAGTCCTGACTGAAGTTCAGTCCTGACTGAAGTTCAGTCCTGACTGAAGTTCAGTCCTGACTGAAGTTCAGTCCTGACTGAAGTTCAGTCCTGACTGAAGTTCAGTCCTGACTGAAGTTCAGTCCTGACTGAAGTTCAGTCCTGACTGAAGTTCAGTCCTGACTGAAGTTCAGTCCTGACTGAAGTTCAGTCCTGACTGAAGTTCAGTCCTGACTGAAGTTCAGTCCTGACTGAAGTTCAGTCCTGACTGAAGTTCAGTCCTGACTGAAGTTCAGTCCTGACTGAAGTTCAGTCCTGACTGAAGTTCAGTCCTGACTGAAGTTCAGTCCTGACTGAAGTTCAGTCCTGACTGAAGTTCAGTCCTGACTGAAGTTCAGTCCTGACTGAAGTTCAGTCCTGACTGAAGTTCAGTCCTGACTGAAGTTCAGTCCTGACTGAAGTTCAGTCCTGACTGAAGTTCAGTCCTGACTGAAGTTCAGTCCTGACTGAAGTTCAGTCCTGACTGAAGTTCAGTCCTGACTGAAGTTCAGTCCTGACTGAAGTTCAGTCCTGACTGAAGTTCAGTCCTGACTGAAGTTCAGTCCTGACTGAAGTTCAGTCCTGACTGAAGTTCAGTCCTGACTGAAGTTCAGTCCTGACTGAAGTTCAGTCCTGACTGAAGTTCAGTCCTGACTGAAGTTCAGTCCTGACTGAAGTTCAGTCCTGACTGAAGTTCAGTCCTGACTGAAGTTCAGTCCTGACTGAAGTTCAGTCCTGACTGAAGTTCAGTCCTGACTGAAGTTCAGTCCTGACTGAAGTTCAGTCCTGACTGAAGTTCAGTCCTGACTGAAGTTCAGTCCTGACTGAAGTTCAGTCCTGACTGAAGTTCAGTCCTGACTGAAGTTCAGTCCTGACTGAAGTTCAGTCCTGACTGAAGTTCAGTCCTGACTGAAGTTCAGTCCTGACTGAAGTTCAGTGACATTTCGTCTGAATGAATTTGCAAGTAACACTGTTGTCACTCTTTCGTCTGTGGATGTATCTTTGTGACTGTTCTCTTAAAAGTCCATTATTCCCTTGGTAGTAATATGTTTTAAATATTCAGTTGCATGTTTCTAATAAAAGCACTGGGATTGTAATGGTTTGTATAGTGTCTTTAAATATATGTGCACATCTCTAAATTATTGTTGGAAACTAGTCTGTTAAGTAGTGGAGTTCATTTGATTTAAGTAATTTCACAATATTGTCTAAAAGTGAAGTAAGTATCTGTAGTTTACTGGGTTGTTTATATTTAAAATGACTAAGTTATAGCTTGGGTTGTCTAATCCCTTTGTTTCATTTTCTGAAACGTGTAGGGCTGAGATGTTGGTGTGGCTCTTTGTGTATTTGAATTGTTTCTGTGCTTTGAAGAATAATACTAGGAAGCCGTGAGATCAGAAATTGCTGTTTTGAGCGTTAGACTGAAATATATTGAAAGCAGTGTTTCTATGTGATATTGTATCATCTGTAAATTCTGATTGGGTTAGAAAGTGTTGGAAATGCTTTAGAAGTTTCATAACCTAACCTAGTTTCCTAGTTTCATAAGTAAATTTGTGAGTCTAGTTACAGTGTATTACCATAAACTTTATCATAAAGAAAGACTAAGCAATTTTTATTATAGAAGCTGTGACATACTCTCTCTTCCATTGTTCACAGGAGACTCACTGATGGCTGAAGAGTGCGTGACGCAGGCTGACAAGTGGCATAACATAAGGTTTGCATAAAACTAATTTTTTTACTGTCTTAATCTACTGTATTCCATGGTCACTAATCTGTTTCCTTAAGCTGCGTTATTGTTAGTTGTTTTATTGACCACATGATCATGTAGTGCTGTTATGTTTTGATACTTTGTGCTGTATTTTCTTAGGAAATAGCATCTTGTTTTGAAATCTTGGCTAGTTTTCCAGGTCTCATAGATTCAGAGGTACAGCATTAAAATCTATTTCAAGAATTTAAGATATATTAACATAATTGAGATAGTTTACTACATTTATGATTATATTAAATAATAGAGAATGTATCAATCCATGCAGACAATACATAAAATCACATAAAAATTACATAAAAATAATCAATGCAATACAGATATTGGGGTTATTTTAGGAATTCAGACAGTGAGTCCAATCACAGTATGCTTTAAATGTCTTGTAACTTCAACCAGGGAAGAGCTCCACAAAGAATTTCAAAAGAAAAAGGTGCTATTTCAGTAGCTATCATAAGGAAGGGGAGAACAAGAAATCAGAGTGGCAATGAGGAACTCTTGTAGTTGGTGACAATTTAGAAAAACAACTATATCAGAGCGTAATCCTCAACTGAATACATTCTCTTCAAATTGAAAGTGGTAAGATCAGACCCCTATTCTGAGAATAAGCATGAGAAATACTAGCCTAGGAATAATTGTTTTGGGAAGTTCTTTTAAGTTAATAGAAAGAAGGTCATGCAATGAAGGTGCTTCAACCATATAACAGTAATATCCGCTAATGTAGAAGCGTGCTCTGGCAAGAATAAATATTTTCTAATCTTCATATGGACAGTATGAAATGCAGGAATGTATCCAAGTGAGGTTAAATCAAGGTTTATTTCTACTTGTGAAGAATCCACTCCAGCAAGAAATTGAACTGTGGACTATTGCATCTGAAATTATAGGACTCCCCAGAGAGCTGGAAGGGAGTCTGCAGGTTCTGTTATCAGTAGGCCCAAGATCTCTGTGCTGTACTGTAATGCAAAGGTGTGTGCTCCTTAGGTCTCCTGTACACTCGAAGGACTTGTTTCAGAATACTGCTCAGATCTTGGTGTTCTGAGTTCTCTAAAGAATAAGATATGTTTGAACATAGAATTTCTGATTTTCTAAATGTTTTAAAACAATAAAAATACTGTTCTGGAGTGTCTTGATAGGAAAATAGAAGGTTCTAAGCTGCAAACAAATGTGGGAGCTTGCAATTGTAACAGTATTAGCTGAAAAAAGAGAGAGGATAAACATTCAAGGAAAAGTATTTTATTTCATGTTTTGCTTAAAGTGGAAAGAGGCAAAAGCAAAGAACAGACAACCAGACTGGGTGTCAGGAAGCTGAGGAGGTATGAAAGGAGTTTTCTGAAGCCTCAGGTAGAGATATCAGATACAAATCAGAATTGGAGATCTTACTCTAAAGCAGAATATATTATTTTCATCCACATGCATTGGAGTTTCATTAATTGGAGTTCCATTAACTGAACCCACAGAGAACACAGATGCAGAAGTTATGACTATTCTGTTAATTTTGCAAGCCTTTGTAACTTGATTATTTTCAGTCTTGTCTGGATGCACAGTACTAATGGATTATGGTTTATCATGTACAAAACAATCCTCATGTTCTTGTCAAGTCAGACTTCTTAGCAGAATATCCCAGCAACCAGAGCTATATAGGAGAGTCCAGGTAAAATATGTTGAAGTTATTTTTGACAGTCTTTAATGAAAAATGTTTTTATGAAACTTAAAACAGCAGCTAGGCAACACAAACATATATTCAAGTTGATGAAAGCTAAATAGGTAAGCCCTCTGACATCACATCTGATGTTCTTTGATATAACAAGAAAAGAAGCTTCATGCTTATGAAAACCGTTTCCAGTAACATAGAAATGAATTGCAGTGCTGCTTTGTCAGTTCTTTTTGACCCAGTGAAACACACACAAACGATTCATTTTGTTTATTCTGTAACGAATGGCTGCGTTTGTGTGATAATAACACTCTAATCAACAATGTTGACTTATGGAATGTTAATAAAATATCCAGTAAGCGTGTTTATTTCAAGCAAAGCAGAAGTATTCATGGTTTCATCTTTGGAGCAATGTGAAGATGCTTTTATTGTAAAATGTAGGCCTGGTCACCTTAGACCTGCAGTCGTAGTTGAAATGAGTTTTCAAGTCAGTACTTGATGCCTTGTATTGAATTCAGTGAAAAGCTTTCTTAATACTAGTTTGTATTACTTACATGGGCCCTATTTGTGATCAAAGACCTTCCTGTGTGAGGGGTACACAAAAAGATAGTTCTTTGCTCAAGGATTGTAAGAATCAAGCATAATATTAATTAGACTAAGATAAACAGGTTAATGCTAAAAAAAGAACAGTGTAGTATGGTAGCTTAAAACTGTCCAGTTCTGTGATGTTTACCAAAAGCTGACAGTGCTTCAGTCACTGATATGCTGAGATCACTGTCAGCTTGAGGTAACTGTCACAGAACTGGACAGTTTTAATGGAAGAGCTCCAGAGAGCTGGCAAAACTGTCTCCTAACAGTTTAGACAACTTCTTAGTGTGCTGTGATCAGTCTATCACTAAGCAATACTAACATGATAGCAAATTTACCTAATGTATAGATATTTTCCTTATGAATAGAATATAAGGATAGCTGCTCTCAAACTGACAGAAAACAACCCAAGGTTGAATGCACTCTAAAAACCCCAAAAGGGCAGTTTTGCAGAGTAATACTGTATTTACTCCTACTGTGTTTTGTTATGCAGATAAATCCTTCTAAGGTTGTTAACTGAATTTTAGAATGTTTCTAAAGCTGCAAATATTAATTACTGCCTTGCATTTAGAGTAACAGTCAGTTCCATTAGTTATGTACAGACTAAATGATGGTTATTAAAGCTACTTTAACCCTATCGATCTTAGTTATAGGTGGCGCGTATGAGAAGGATTAACTTTCAGTTCCTTAGACAAATGAGTCAGAGTTAAGAAAAAAATCATTTTATGAAGATAATAGGCATGTTGGATTTATGTCTTTGACATGTGGATAGTATTTGTAGAATCCCTCTATGGCTTTATTTCAGAAGAAGAATGCGGCTGCACTCTAATGTATTAAAAAATATTTCAGAGTAAAATACGCTTTGAAATCCAAACTATATTTTTTATCTTATTACTTTAGCACCAAGTTTAAAATTCATAAATAACTGTGTTGTCTTTGGACCAACAATCTTGAAATGTTCCTTCTCTCAGCATAGTTGAGGAAAAAAATTCACAGCCAAATGTCCAGTCAGCCAGAATGTTTTTGTTTGTAAGCCAGCGCGTCATAAAAGACATAACAGTTATGTTCTGTGCTGCAGTAAGACTTTGAATGTAAACTTTGAAGCTTCCGATAGTCCATTGCTTATACAGTGCTGCAGATTTGAAAATAGCTTAAATGTCAACAGGAAACGTGGATGTACATGGAATGTTGCTGTGGATACAGATCTTCATGGCCTGTAATCTCTAAGCTGTTTTAGAAAGATTTAATTGTTTGAAGCACATTAATGGTACTAATACACCTCTGTAATCTGCCTGGAAGTCAATGGCTTATACAGTTGAAGGTGATTTATTAGGCTGTTGTTATGCATGTTATTTAATAGTCCAGAATAAAAGGTGGTTTGGCACTTGACAGAAACAATAATTTAGCATGTTTTATGTTTGTAGATAACATTTTAAGGTTTTAAAGTTCGTTTGTACTTTTTGGGTTGTGACAAACTGTAGGCTCAGATGATTGCTGGGATAAAACCTCCAATTTTATGTATGTAAGTTCTGGAAATGCACAGGCATCTAAAAGATTTTTACTTATACTTTCTGAAGATTAAATATTTCAAAACAACTTCTGTTTCTGTGTACCTCCTAAAAAATTTGCTAGTGTTAGCTGGCCATTCTTGTGTGTGTGGGCACCTGCACAGCTGCATGTTACTTTTTTGTTCTAACAGATGTATCAACTCAAGTAGACTGACAGTTCACTTAGTCCCTCTTCATTTGGCCACTCTTGCTCTACATAGATGTATAAAAATATTGTTATTTGTATATGTTTAAACATGACTTTTCTAAGGAAGTAATACAAATATCAGTACAAAATATAAGGAGGAAAAGAACAAACATCATGAGGAGTTATTTTTACTTTTTCAAACTTCAGTTAAAAAATTTTCTGCTTTCTCTCTTTGTTTTTAGATAATGATTTTACGGACTTTAAAGTTCAAGGGGAATGAGTTGGTTAAAAAAACCTACTCAGGTATATAAATATTTTCTGATTCAAAGCAGTCCAATTTTCCATTTCGAATAACTGGATTATTGCAGAATCTTTACGTCAACAAAAAGGTGGGAAGTTTGGCCATTTCTACGGCCAAAGAAGCTATGTGAGCCAAGGGAAATATTTTGCTATACGGGGCTATGAAAGCTAGTTCTGTGTTTAAAAACAACAGAAACAATAAAAGCCAACGCTCAAAATCCTCACAAAAACTAAAACCAAACAAGTAGATACATAGTGGGATATGTAATGGCAAAATGAAAATTATGACTTCACTAATTTTTTTCAGTTAATAGGTTGATTGCATGTTAAGTACTGTCAGGTTTAGGGAACTTATATCTGTGAACTTGGAATAATTCAATTTCTTGTAGTTAATATTTGGAGTTCATAATTTCAGGAATCTTAATACTTAGAGATCTCAGTTTGAGAAGCAGTCCTTATCTTGTTTTATTTGTGTCCTCTGATGTTCTGTAGTACACTTAACTTACTTTGTAAGACTTTTGTAATTATTGATTGTTACTTGCTTGGGGATTATAAAATGATTGACACTCCATAGTAGTAGAAAGTGCAGGCAGCACCATTCTCTGAGACAGAAAGCAACTATAGAAGTCACCTACCTGTTTATTTTCTTCACTTCATTGTCCTTCCACGTAACTTCGAATTATCTGTGACTACCCACCTACATACTGACAGGGTTGGA